TTACAATTGATCTCCAGATGAACAGAGATCACTCCTCCTGGAGGAAAAGGCAGCTTCAGAGGGTAGAAAATGGCATCCCTGCCGAGGTCCCTCCCCTCAAACTCCACCTCCAAATGTCCAGGAATTCCCCAATCCAGAGTCTTCAACCCTACGCAGAAGGTTCTAGGGTCTGGCTCTCCGACTGCCGGATTCTGTTAGGGGACAACCACTGTTTCCATCAGTCTCTCTCTCTGGCTTTTTGGATTGTCCTCCTCTGCTCCAGATCCACCAACTTCTGTTCTTCCTGCCACTGACTTCTGTTCTTCCTGCCTGGAGGTGATTCCGCACTGGCTTTCCCCTCAATTGTTTTAGCAAACCCACCTTGGAACAGAAATTCCCCTCTGCATCGCATGCTGCTTTTGCTTTCTTTGATCATCGGATTTTATGGTACCCTCTACACTGCATGCCGCTTTCGCTTTCTTTGGTCATCAGATTTTACGGCACCCTCTGCATCGCATGCCGCTTTCGCTTTCTTTGATCATCAGATTTTATGGTACCCTCTACACTGCATGCCGCTTTCGCTTTCCTTGATCATCGGGTTTCATGGTACCTTCTGCATAGATCTCTCTCCATTTTATGGACGTTCAGGGGTGATTTTGCAGTCAGTACAGTGTTGGCCCGGGGTCTCCGAATGCGGTTTTGAGCTGCACCATTCCCACAGTGGCGAGGAAATATGGCGCGGATGCCAGATGCCAAACCACCCTGGGTCTGTCCCTTGGCCACATCCAGGGACTGCTATTTATTTCTTCCGTTGCCGTTGCCATCAGGGAAAAATCTGCGCTGCAGCCTGTCTCCTGGCGGCAGGCCCATTTCCTACCGTGACGCAGTTCTTTCACACAGAGAAGGCATTAAAAACGAAGCACCACAGCCCAGCGCTTGCCGCCTCTCTCTCCCGTTCCATCCCGCAATACACCTCAAATGACAGCCCGGTTCCCTTTCTCCCTCGCTCGCAAGCAGCTTGTCTGCCTTCCATCAGCAAGGGTGGGAGAGACCGCAGTGCAATGCGCAACAGAGCATTCAAAACGTCCGCTGCAATGTTGAGCGCATCAGGATCGGAAGCCCTTTCTCAGCCTCACCCCCAGCACAGCCAATATCTATCCGATAGCCTCCAAACTCCCTGTCTGAGAATCCCTCTTTGGGACAGTTTAAAGTGTTCCTCCACACCCCGGCTCCATTCGTTTGTCTCTCGGCTTGTCTGTTAGGGCCCCGAACCTTCTTCTCCTCCTTCCCAAACGTTCCCCCCCCCCAACAAAAGGCACATTCCAGATTCACAAAACTGTTTTGCAGTTGAAACTTTCAGAGCCAGCCTTTCCTGGGGCCTTTTCCCTTGGCGGGAAGAAAGGGCTGGGAAAGTACCGGGTTTCTGTGTCGACTTATAAATAGACACGGTGCAATTAGGGAAGGGGCAGAGATCGGCTCGCAGCAGGTCCGTACCCTCCGAAGAAGCCAGGGCGTTTCCTTGGGAGCCATGTAAAATCACTCCTGGCCACTTCCGCCTCACCAGCTTCATCCAAAGCTGCTGAAGCTGTTTATCTTCAGCCTCACCCAAGCAGCTTGGAAGTGTCTGATAAGTAGTGGCCCCCAGTTATGAAAAAACATCAGCTAGACGGGAGTTTAGAGATAACGCAGAGGGCTGGATCCAAGCCACCTTCTCTTCCCTGTGCCCAAGTTCTCCTTACCATCCCAGGGGGCCCACGGAGGGTCCCATAATCCCCCAGCATGACTACCTTGGGTGTGGTCAGCAATAGGATTGCCAGCTCCGGGTTGGGAAACTGCTGGGGATTTGGGGGTGGAGCCTCAGGAAGGCAGGTTTCAGGGTGGCGAAGGACCTCAGGAAGGTACAGTGACATAGAGTACACCCTACAAAAGGCACCCATTTTTCTCCAGGGGAACAGATCCGTCTAGTCTGGAGATTGGTTGTCATTCCGGGAGATCTCCAGCCCCGTCGGGAGTTTGACAAGACTAGATCCAACCCAGAGTATTTGCATCACACAAGCCTCTGGCACAGGCCATGCGTACCAATGTTCCCCCAAGTGGCAACCAACTTACGGCAGCCCCAGCGAGGGATTTTCAAGGCAAGTGAGAAGTAGAGGTGGTTTGTGATTGCCTTTCTCTGCAGAGTCTTCCTCAGTGGTCCCCCATCCAAGTAGATCCACCCTGATGCGATCGGGCTATACCATGCCACTTTCCCATCCTCGGTGGTCCTGGTCCCCCATCCAAGTATCCACCCTGATGCGATCTGGCTATACCCTGCCGCCTTTCCCTCCTTGGTGGTCCCCCATCCGAGTATCCATCCTCGTGATCGGGCTATACCACACCGTCTTTTCCTCCTTGGTGGTCCCCCATCCAAGTGTCCACCCTGATGCGATCGGGCTACGCCAGGCCACCTTTCCCTTCCCACAGACCTTAATCCAGCGCAATCGATTTAATTCGGTGCCATCTGCAGGTCGGACTCAGAAGCCTCCTGAAGCCGGTCTCCAGCCCCACCCAAGCGTCCAATAGCCAGTGGCCCCCAGTCACACACACACACACAAAAACAACAACAACACATCAGCTAGACTGAAGTATAGAGAGAAGCAATGCTCCCTCTAAGCTGTGGAGTCCCGTGAGCAAAAATTCTACTTTCTGAGCTACTGGCATTAAAGTTGTGAGCGAGCGATTTGGCGACTGCATAAATTTGTTTCCTTTGGAGCCCTCCTTCCTGAGCTAAAACAAAAATGTGTGAGCCAGAGGCTAAAAAACTGTGAGCTAGCTCACACTAACTCAGCTTAGAGGGAACACTGGAGAGAAGTCTATTCAACAGAGCTGGCTCCCAGGACATCAAACTATCCACACCCTGATCTGATCGGGCTACGCCAGGCCACCTTTCCCTTCCGGCAGACCTTAATCCAGTGCAGGTCTATTCCATCTGCAGGTGGACTCAGAAGCCTCCTGAAGTCTCTTCAAGGGGGCTGACTCCCGGGGGGTGGGGGGTAGATCCAGGTGGTCTTCTTCCCTGTTGGTCTGGAGCAGTCGAACAGATTTAGGGTCCAGTGAAGCCCGACAGAGGTTTATTCAAGGCATGAGCTTCCCTGTGCCTGCGCACCATTCCAATGCATTTGGGAAAAGCTGACACCTGGAATAAACCTCTGTCAGTCTCAAAGGTAAAGGTAAAAGTCCCCTTGCTCCAAAGCCAGTCCAGTCCCACTCGAGGGTTGCGGTGCTCATCTCCGTCTCCAAGCCGACGAGCCAGCACTGTCCGAAGACGTTTCCGTGGTCATGTGGCCGGCATGACTAAACACCAAGGCGCACTGAACGCTGTTCCCTTCCCACCGTCTTAAAGGACCCTAACTCTGTTCTACTGCTCCAGACCAGCAGGGATGACCACCTGGATCTATTTCCCGGGGGGGGGGGTTGTTGTTTTCTTAGGGATGCCCTGTTAAAAAGCCTTTCTTTAAAAAAAACCCCGTAAATCCTTGCATTGGATGCTGATGCTGGCGCAAACCGCCGCCCCCCGTCGAAGACTCTGGCGACCGGCGCGGGACCCCTCGACGTACCTGGGCACTGGGCGTCTCCTGAGGCTGGGACGAGAGCGGGCGGACTGCGGGGAAGGGCCGGGCCTCCGTTGATATAGCCCGGGGGGGGGGGGGGGAGAGAAGCGGGGAGGGTCCGACGGGGGAGCAGAGCGAGCGGCGGAGGCGGCCCAGAAACGGAGGAGGCGCCGAGAGCGATGCAGTCCTCCGCCCGCCCCCGCCCCTCTTTCCTCGCTCAAGGTCGCGGGACGCCGGGAGAACAAACCCAGCGGTGGGGCCTTTTTTCCTTTTTTGCCGGGGAGGCCTGCTGGGGAAAGCCACGCCGCCTTCCCCGACGGGGCACAAGCAATGCTCCCTCTAAGCTGTGCGCAATGCTCCCTCTAAGCTGCAGAGCCTTCTGAGCAAAAATGCTACTTTGCGAGCTACTGGCATGAAAGTTGTGAGCTGGCGATTTGACGAATGCATCAATTAGATTGCTCTGGAGCCGTCCCTTCCTGAGCACACACAAAAAAGGTGTGAGCCGGAGGCTAAAAACCTGTGAGCTAGCTCACACTAATTCAGCTTAGAGGGAACACTCCCCGACGGGGCACAATGCTCCCTCTAAGCTGTGCGCAATGTTCCCTCTAAGCTGCAGAGCCTTCTGAGCAAAAATGCTACTTTGCGAGCTACTGGCATGAAAGTTGTGAGCGGGCGATTTGGCTAATGCATCAAGTAGATTGCTCTGGAGCCCTCCTTCCTGAGCAAACACAAAAAGGTGTGAGCCGGAGGCTAAAAACCTGTGGGCTGGCTCACACTCACTCAGCTTAGAGGGAACACTGCTTGTGAGCAAAAACTCCACTTTGCGAGCTACCGGCATGAAAGGTGTGAGCGAGCCATTTGGCTGCTGCACAAATCAGTTTGCTCTGGAGCAATGTTCCCTCTAAGCTGTGGTGTCCTGTGAGCAAAAATTCTACTTGGTGAGCTCCTGGCATTAAAGTTGTGAGCAGGCGATTTGGCTCCTGCATACATTCGTTTGCTCTGGAGCCCTCCTTCCGGAGCTAAGGCACAAATGTGTGAGCCGGAGGCTAAAAAACTGTGAGCTGGCTCACACTAACTCAGCTTAGCGGGAACACTGCTCTGGAGCCCTCCTTCCTGAGCGAAGACAAAAACCTGTGAGCCGGAGGCTAAAAAACTGTGAGCCGGCTCCACACTCACTCAGCTTAGAGGGAACCCTGGGCACAAGCCCGCAAGGCAGCAGGGGGAGACGGGAAGGGAGGGACAGGCCGGGTGGGTGGGGGAGAGGGGAGAGGCGCCGCCGACGCCGCCCAGCCAGCCCGCTCCCCACACCGACAGCTCGGCGTTGCACCAAATCGCTCCGTTTCTTGCTCTCTGCGGCAGGAGCGGCTGGGAACGAGGCAGAATCCGGCCAAAGGACGGGGGGGGGAGGAGAGGAAGAGAAGGGCTTCCTACCTTGGCAGAGACGCGCGGGGGGCTGCGTTGGGCTTTGCAGGCGCTTTTCGGGGCGGGGTGTGTGTTTGCAGCCGTTGCGGCCTTTCTTCATCTTCCAAAGCCAGGACGGGGTGAAGAAGAGGTGACCAGACAGAAAACGAGACAGACGGTGGGGGGGAGGCTTTCTTCCCCCCCCCCCCCCAATGCTCCCTCTAAGCTGTGGCGTCCTGCGAGCAAAACGTCTACTGTGTGAGCTGCTGGCGTGAAAGTGGCGTGAGCGGGCGATTCGGCTGCCGCATCAGTCCGTTTGCTCTCTGGAGCGAAGGCAGAAATGGGTGAGCCGGAGGCGATGCTCCCTCTAAGATGGGGAGTCTGGTGAGCAAGAATTCTGCTTTGGGAGCTCCTGGCATGAAAGTCGTGAGCAAGCGATTGGGCTCCTGCATAATGCCCTGGAGCCATCCCTCCTGAGCTAAGACAAAAATGTGTGAGCCCGAGGAGGACTCACCCTAACTCAGTTTAGGAAGAACACTGGCCAAGAAGAAAAAACTGCAAGCGTGCTCACACTAACTCAGTTTAGAGGGAACACTGCGTCCCTGGCCCCGGCAGCCCAGGGTGGATTGGGCCCAGGGCTAGGAAAGCGGAGGCGTGGGCTTCACGGCCTCCCGGGGAGTGTCTGGAGATCCTCCAGAATTAGAACGGAGCTCGAGGCGACTTCGTTATTTATTATTTATTGAGCTGGAAACAGGCCTATTTTGGGGCAGGAAAACACGGCCACGCCCTGCAGGAACTCATTAGCATAATAGGCCACACCCAACAGCAGAAACTCATTAGGATTGGCTACATTAGGAATGTGTGGCCTAACATGCAAAGGAGTTCCTGCTACAAAAAAAGCCCTGGGTTTTGACCAGAGGCCATTTTTTTTGGGGGGGGGAACGTGGGGGAACGCAGTTCCCCCGGGTGAGGTGCAGGGGGCGGGGCAGCTGATGTATTCAGCCAGGAGGAGGCAGGAGAAGAGGGAGGGTAAGTTGCTTCCTCCTCGCCTCTCCCCACCCCTGCCTGCCTGGGGCCAGGGAGGGCCTTGGCGGGGCTTCCTCGCACTTCAGCCAGCCTTGCAGGTCCACCTGATGTCAGGGGGTGTGGCATATGCTAATGAGTTATGCTAATGAGTTCCCCTAGCTCTTTTTCTACGAAATGACCCCTGGTTTTGACAACAAGGTAAACAGAATAAGAAGCAAAAGGTGGGTGTGGCTGGATGAGCACACTTCTGGTAACATGGGGGTGCGGCCTAATATGCTAATGAGTGTCTGCTGTTGGGTGTGGCCTATTATGCTAATGAGTTCCTGCTGGGCTTTTTCTACAAAAAAGCCCTGGCTGGTAACATTTACCCCACTTTCTCCTGGAGGAGAGGGCTGCCTTGGAAGGTGGACCGCAAGGCTACAGAGGCCCCTCCCCTCCCTAAACCCCAGACTCTCAGACTCTGCCCTTGAATACCCACGGATTTCCCAACCCAGAGTTGGCAACCCTACCTTGGGGAGATTGGGGTGGGCAGGTTCACACTATGCTGATGCGCTTTCCCCTCTTCTCTTCCCTAGATAGCTGCCATGGGTAGGGTGTGTGTGTAGGGTTGTCAGATCGCCCCTGGCCAGAAGAAGAGATTGGATTTATACCCTGCCCTTCACTACCCAAAGGTGTCTCAGAGCGGCTTACAAACTCCTTTCCCCTCCCCTCCCCACAACAGACACCCTGTGAGGTGGGTGGGGCTGAGAAAGCTCTTGACAGAAACGGCTCTTTTTTCAAGGACAGCTCTCATCAGAGGGCTAGCTGTATTTTTAATATTTTAATATCACTTTAGGACCTCAGTGGGGCACAATGCCATAGAGTCCACCCTCCAAGGTATCCATTTTTCTCCAGGGGAACTGATCTCTGTAGTCTGGAGATGAGCTGTAATTCCAGGGGAACTCCAGGTCCCACCTGGAGGCTGGCATCCCTAGGGGAGTAGGGGCGCCAGATACAGGTTGGGAAACTCCTGGAGATTTGGGGGATGGAGCCTGGGGGAGGACGGGGACCTCAGTGGGTCACACTGTCACAGAGTCCACCCTCCAAGGTATCCATTTTTCTCCAGGGGAACTGATCTCTGTCTTCTGGAGAGGAGCTGTGATTCCGAGGGGTTCCCCAGGTCCCTCCTGGAGGCTGGCATCCCCACGTGGCAAGGGGGATACTTGTTTCCATTATGTTTTATTTCATTGCTAGCCTCCCTTTCTCACAGGGAGAGGGCCGCACGTACAAGAAGGACTCAGTCAGTCAGTCAGATTACGAAATGCGTTTCGAAGGACAGCATCTGAATTCTAGCAGGCAAGAAGCTCTCGGCCCAGCCATCAGTCCACAGGATTATAAAATATGATGACAGCCGGGGAAAGACTCCAAGTAAAACAGCAGAATGCAGAGGGGCAGGGATGGGGAAATGGGAAGGGGAGGAAGAGCGCGTGATCCCGAATACTTTACGCCGACAGCTGTACTTCCTGAATGACTTCCTGAACAGTTCTGATTTGTACATTTTGGCAAACCACAGAAGCATAGAATGGGCCTT